GAACGATCCAAGATGGCCGATCGAGAACAGCTCGGGATTGCAGCTCTCAGTCAAAGCGCAGAGAACTAGAGGACGCCACACTTTCAAATTCTGGTCTTTCACGGAGCAGAAGATCCCCAGTGGAAGAACCACACGGGTCGCCAGCGCGACTCTTGTGGCCAGCGCAGCGGTTTCGCTGGCACCTCGGCGCGGCAGCTCTCGGAGCAGAGTAAATAGGGCTGGCTCCCCTTCTGACCGAGGCTTGGAGGACCTACACGGGCTGCCAGCGCGACTGTGGCCGGCGCAGCGGCTTCGCTGGCACCTAGGCGCGGCAGCTCTCAGAGCAGAGTAAACAGGGCCGACTCCCCTTCTGACCAAGGTTTGGAGGACCCACACGTGTCCCCAGCATGACTCCTGAGACTGGCGCAGCGGCTGTGATGGCACCTCAGCTCGGCAGCTCTCGGCGCAGAGTAAAGGAGACTGATTCCCCTTCTGACCGAGGTTTGGAGCCCGGGGAAGGCAGAGTCGCCCATTACGGACACAAGAAGGAAGCCAGACAGGAGAATCCTGGGCAGAAAAGCACCATCAGTCTTAACGCCGCTGTTCTGGCCCTGGGAACTAACAACCTGGACGTCCAATCAAGAGACCTAATCTGAAAGTTGGTAATTTCAAAGACGACAGGAGGATGAATTTACAATGATGGGAAGAAACCAGCGTAAAAAGGCTGAGAATATTCAAAATCAGAACGCCTCTCCCTCTAAAGATGATCACAGTTCCACATCAACAATGGAACAAGGCTTGATGGAGAATGAGCTCATCCCAATGACAGAATCACTCTTCAAGGAATGGATAATAAGAAACTTCTGTGAGTTAAAAGAACATGTTGTAGCCCAACGTAAAGAAACTAGGAACTTTGAAAAAAGGTTTGACGAAATCCTATTGAGAATAGACAACTTAGAGAGGAATATAAGTGAATTAATGGAACTGAAGAATACAATACAGGAACTCTGAGAAGTATGCACAGGTTTAAGCACTCGAATTGTTCAAGCAGAAGAAAGGATAACAGAGGTCAAAGTCCAACTTAATGAAAGAAAACAAGAAGACAAGATTAGAGATAAAAGGATAAAAAGGAATGAGCAAAGTCTCCAAGAAATGTGGGACTATGTGAAAAGATCAAATTTACGTTTGATAGGTGTACCTGAATGCGACCGAGAGAATGAATCCAAGCTGGAAAATACCCTTCAGGATATTATTCAGGAAAATTTTCCTGAACTAGCAAAGCAGGTCAATATTCAACCCCAGGTAATACAGAGAACACCACAAAGATATTCCTCAAGAAGAGCAACCCCAAGGAACATAATCGTTAGATTCACCAGGGTTGAAACAAAGGAGAAAATACTAAGGGCAGCTAGAGAGAAAGGTCAGGTTACCCACAAAGGCAAACCTATCAGACTTACAGCAGATCTCTCAGCAGAAACTCTACAAGCCAGAAGAGAGTGGGGGCCAATATTCAACATCCTCAAAGAACAGAACCTTCAGCCCAGAATTTCATATCCAGCCAAACTAAGCTTCACAGCTGAAGGAAAAATAAAATCTTTTATGAACAAGCAAGTACTCAGAGATTTTATTACCACCAGGCCTGCTTTACAAGAGCTTCTGAAAGAGGCATTACACACAGAAAGAAACAACCAGTATTAGCCTTACCAAAAATATACCAAAAAGTAAAGAGCACCAACATAAAGAAGAATTTTCATCAATGAATGGATCAAACAGCCAGTTAACATCAAATGGCAGTAACCCTAATTTTAAATCGGCTAAATCCCCCAATCAAAAGACACAGCCAAAACCCAACGGCATGTTACATCCAGACCTGTTTCACATGCAAGGATACACAAAGACTCAAAACAAAGGAATGGAGAAAGATTTACCAACCAAATGGAGAGCAAAAATAAATAAATAAATAAACAAAAAGCAGGAGTTGCAATTCTCGTAGCAGATAAAATAGATTTTAAAGTAACAAAGACATAGTGGTAAAAGGATCAATACAACAACAAGAGCTAATGATCCTAACACCCAGATACATAGAGACTTAGACTCAATGAGACAGAAAATTAATAAGGATATCAAGGACTCGAACTCAGATCTGGAACAAGTAAACTTAATAAATATTTATAGAGCTCTCCACTTCAAATACATAAAATATACATTCTTGTCAATACCACATCATACCTACTCATAGGTTTAAATGAAACATTGATTGGCCATGATTAATACCCATTTTTTTTCAGAATAAAGCAATATTTCCGTTCACCCTCCCTCTCTCTCTTCCTCTTTCTTTCTCTCCTTTACTCATTTTCTTTTCTTTCCTTCTCTCAAAAAAAGAAATCAACTTGTAAACTTCTAGATCCAGGTCAGCAATGTCTCTCTCATTGCTTGAATTCCTTCCTTCCCTTCCCTCCCTCCCTCCCTCTCTCCCTCCCCCTACTTCCTCCCTTCCTTCCTTCATCCCTTCCTTCCTCCCTCCCTTCCTCCCTCCCTTCCTCCTTCCCTCCCTAAAAAAATTAAATAAATAAATAAAGAACACACCTACAGCAAACAAACAAAATTAAGAATCAGTGTGCATTTGACAGGAAATTATTCTTTCTGTTCATTAAGAGGTAGAGCTACAGATACTACAGATACATCTACTTAGCCAAGGCCAGACGCTCATATAAAAAAGAACACAGCCACACAGTATGCAAAGAAAACTGCCACATACATTCTGATTAATAATGAAAGACCAGTTTTCACTCGGATCAATTGAAGGGGGGAAAAAAGTAAGATTCCTGACAATTAGTTGGATCCTAAGCATCCTAGATTGAAAGTATCTAAAATCAGTCTACTAGAAAAAAGTCAGTGATTCACATTAAACGTTGATTAGAAAAGATGTAAGGTCTAAGTGTTACTCCCTTCTTGGAGAAAGCCAGTTGCCTTCTCTGTGTCATAGGCACAAAGAGTAGGAGTCTAGGAAAAAAAACACCAGGACTTTTCCTGTTCCATGACGGTGTCAGGGAAGCCTGGACCATGTCACTTCTGCCACTCAAGGGACCAATGGGCTTAAGACCATTTTCTAGAACCCATCAGTTCATGGCAGAGGCTCTGTCTTCCCACTTGTAGCCAGTCCATGTCTAGGTATGAGCTGCTGGGCAGAAAATAACTGAAAGAATGCTGGGATGGGCCGGGCACGGTGGCTCATGCCTGTAATCCCAGCACTTTGGGAGGCTGAGGCGGGTGGATCACGAGGTCAAGAGATCGAGACCATCCTGGTCAACATGTGAAACCTCATCTCTACTAAAAATACAAAAAATTAGCTGGGCATGGTGGCGCACGCCTGTAATCCCAGCTACCCAGGAGGCAGAGGCAGGAGAATTGCCTGAACCCGGGAGGCAGAGGTTGCGGTGAGCCGAGATCGCGCCATTGCACTCCAGCCTGGGTAACAAGAGCGAAACTCTGTCTTAAAAAAAAAAAAAAAAAAAAAAGAATGCTGGGATGGCAGAAGAGGGCTATCTGTAGGGCTCAAGCCATTCCACTAATGGGAGACTGATATATCAACCCAAGTCTCATGCATATCATCCTATTTATTAAGAAGTTACTTCAGCCTAGGCATGGTGGCTCATGCCTGTAATCCTAGCATGTTGGGAGGCTGAGGTGGGCAGATCATTTGAGCTCAGGTGTTCGAGACCAGCCTGGCAACATGGCAAAACCCTATCTTTACAAAAAAATATAAAAATTAGCCAGGTGTGGTAGCATGTGCCTATAATCCCAACCACTTGGAGGGCTGAGGTGGGAGGAGCGCTTGAACACAGAAGGTTGAGGCTGCAGTGAGCCAAGATCGTGCCATTACACTCCAGCCTGGGTGAAAAAGTGAGACCCTGTCTCAAAAGAAAAATAATAAAATGATAAAAATAAGGCTGGGTACAGTGGCTCACACCCATCATCCCAACACTTTGGGAGGCCAAGGTGGGCTGATGGCTACCACCCAGGAGTTTATGATCAGCCTGGGCAACATGGCAGAACTCTGTCTCTACAAAACAGACAAAAAATTAGCTGGGCATGGTGGTGAGCTCCTGTGGTCCCAGCTACTAGGAAGGCTGAGGCAGAAGGATCACTTGAGTCCAGATGGTTGAGGCTGCAATAAGCTGTAATTGAGCTCCAGCCTGGGTGATAGAGTGATACCCTGTCTCAAAAAAAAAAAAAAAACTATATATCCTATATAAATAAAAATAAGAAATTGCTTCAATCATGTTCCACATGGGAGGTCACTTAAAAACTTTGATCTCTTTTTTTTTTTTTTTTTTTTTTTTTGAGATGGATTCTTACTCTGTTGTAAGGCTGGAGTGCAATGGCGCAATCTCAGCTCACTGCAACCTCTACCTCCCAGGTTCAAGCAATTCTCCTGGCTCAGCCTCCCAAGTAGTTGGGACTACAGGTATGTGCCACCACACCCGGCTAATTTTTTATTTTTAGTAGAGATGGGGGTTTCGCCATTATTAGCCAGGCAGGTCTCAAACTCCTGACCTCAGGTGATCGACCTGCCTCAGCCTCCCAAAGTGCCAGGATTACAGGCATGAGCCACTGTGCCTGGCCAAAAACTCTGATCTTTAACACAATGAAGTAACCAAGGAGCCAGGGTTGGCAGCAGCCTTCCTCCCAGTACAGCCTGAGTCTGCTTAGCAAGGCCAATGGGAGAAAGGGCTGCTGAGGCGTATCCCCACCTGGAGTAAGCTCAGGTCAGTTGACTTTGACTGCAAACAGTTCAAACTCCATTAAGTACAATCACTTGCCAATTAATTTTTGGAATAGAAATGAACACCATCTTGGCCCAAAGGCTACCTACCTTTCAGGATCCTCTACCCAATGGCATGGCTTGAGGCAGGCAGCCAGCAAACAAAGTCCTCCCCAGCCTCTCAACTACCACCATGACTCTCAACACCAATTGGATCAGGAGAGCAGAACAAATGTTCTATTAAACAGTGACTCACCAGGAAGTCTGTTCATGTTGACGCCTTGAGCCGAGAGTCCTATTCCCATGTACCTTCAAAAAAACACACACACACAAATTGGTTAGCAAATGATCACACATCTTCCTTCTCAAATATTTCTTGATAAGAGGCAGAAAAATGAGAAAAGCAATGAATGTAGAGACTCTTATAACATACTAATGGTTCTCGGAGAAACCTGACATTTTGATTTGCTAATGGAAAGCGTTTTAATGCCTTACCCAGCTAGAGAAACAGAAGGTTGTGTGTGTGTGTGTGTGTGTGTGTGTGTCACTATGAACCACTGGCTTCAGTTTCAGAGGAAAGTGTCATGAATTCACGGCTTCTAGTCCCTTGGTGTTCTGGCTGTAGCTAAGGCACAGAATCTATTCCTAAGGTGTGCCTAAAGTAGCTCAATCCTAGGTAGTGTTTGATAGAGCAATGCACAGATGTCCCACAGGGACAACCCAGTGTGGGACAACCCAGTCTGCACCAAAGACGAGGACATGAAAAAAGTACAGCCATGTTGGATCTATATAGGATCATCGATCAAGACTGCTCACACAGAGCTTGTTCTCTAGGTCTCAAAATTCATTACCTTCCCCGCATACATTCACACTGGTCTCCCAAACCACACAAAGCTAGAAGCGGTGATGTGTGACGCCCCCCGAGACCCCTTCACTCCTCCCACTCCAGGTGCTTAAAGCAACTAAGCTGTCCACAGCAAGGTGGGCCCCAGGTTGCAGCAACTGTCAAAGATGTCTTAGTGGCACTTATCAGAAAGCAAGACAGAAGCAGAAATGAACATTTTTTTTAGTCTAAATATATGTAATGTACAAAGAAACAGGTATTTCCCCATAAACACAGAAATAAGAGAAACAAGTCATCACTTTCTAAGAGTAAAATAGTAGAAAGCACACATGATGCCTGATATCAACCACATATAAACATCAATAGGTAGCTGAGGTGCTCAGAATACTCAAGCCACCAACCAAGAAGGCTGAGATATAACCTTATACTTGCATAACAATGTGAATGCACTTAAGACCACTGAACTTAAAAATTATTAAAGTAACTTTTATGTTACATATATTCTACCACAATAAAAAATTTAAAAAATAATTTTTGTTTTTGAGTCAGTCTCACTCTGTCGCTCAGGCTGGAGTGTAGTGACACAATCCCAGCTCACTGGAACCTCCGCCTCTCGATTCAAGTGATTATCCCCGCTCAGCCTCCCAAGTAACTGAGACTACAGGAGTGCACCACCACACCCAGCTAATTTTTATATTTTTGGTAGAGATGGGGTTTCACCATGTTGGCCAGACTGTTCTTGAACTCCTGAGCAATAAGCAATCTCCCTGCCTCAGCCTCCCAAAGTGCTGGGATTATGGGCATGAGCCATCACACCTGGCCTAAAAAAAAAAAAAAAAAAAGACATTTTTCCTTCTTTTTTTTTTGTTTTTTATTTTTTTTATCTTGAGTGTAACTGATTTGTTCTTGAAAGACTTTTTTTTAAGACAGGGTCTCACTCTGTATCCTAGGCTGGAGTGCAGTGATACAATCACGGTTTACTGCAGCCTTCATCTCCTGGGCTCAGGCGATCCTTCCACCTCCACCTCCTGAGTAGCTGGGACTACAGGCCCACACCACACATGCCCAGCTAATTTTTTGTAGAGAAGAGGTTTCACCATGTTGCCTAGAATGGTCTTAAACTCCTGGGCTCAAGCAATACACCAGCTTCAGCCTCCCAAAGTGATAGGATTACAGGCATGAGCCACTGTGCCGGCCAAATTGATTTTTTTTAAAGGAATTACATGGAGTTGCCTTAATTTGCCCATTTCCAAGTGGCTGTACATTCACATTCTGATTGTCCCCAACTATAATTCTACAAGGAGTCTCTCCACATACATTTCCCCATTTTGGACTATTTCTTTCCTCCCTGGCATGTTCCATGCAACAATGCACCTGTTTCCTAACACTCCTGGGGTCCCCATACCCAGGGACATGATGTGGTGTTGAAGTCTGTACCCTCCAAATCAGGAGATGATTGAACCATGGGGGCAGATCCCTCATGAATGGCTTGTTGCTGTCCTTGAGGTAATGAGGGAGTTCTTGCTCTAAGTCAATGTGAGATCTGATGATGATGATGATGATTTTGAGACAGGATCTTGGTCTGTCACCCAGGCTGAAGTGCAGTGGCATGATCTCGGCTCACTGAAATCTTGATCTCCTCGGCTCATGCAATCCTCCTACATCAGCCTCCTGAGTAGTTAAGACTACTGGTACATGTTGTCTCACCTGGCTAATTTTTGTAGAGATAGAGTATCACCATGTTGTCCAGGCTGGTCTCCAAATCCTGAGCTCAAGTGATCTTCCTGTCTTGGCCTCCGAAATTGCTGGGATTACAAGCATGAGCCATCACATCTGGCCTATTTTTTAAAATTTTTAATAGAAATGAGGTCTCACTATTTCCCTAGGTTGGTCTTTAACTCCTAAACTCAAATAATCCTCCTGCCTCAGCCTCCCAAAGTGCTGGGATTACAGGCATGAACCACCATGCCTGGTCTAAGATCTGGTTAAGGGTGTGCAGGTCGGTTGTGGTGGCTCACACCTCTAATCCAGCACTTTGGGAGGCTGAGGCATGCAGATCACATGAGGTCAGGAGTTCGAGACCAGCCTGACCAACATGGAGAAACCCCATCTCTACTAAAAATACAAAATTAGCCAGGTGTGGTGGCACATGTCTGTAATCTCAGCTACTTGGGAGGCTGAGGGAGTAGAATTACTTGAACCCAGGAGGCGGAGGTTGCTGTGAGCCAAGATCGTGTCACTGCACTCTAGCCTGGGCAACAAGAGCAAAACACCATCTCAAAAAAAAAAAAAAAAAAAAAAAAAAAAAGAGTGCAGCAACTTCCCCCCGCTCTGGCTCCCACTCTTGCCATGTGACATGCTGGCTCCCTGCTGTCTTCCACCATGATTATAAGTCTCCTGAAGGAACATACTTCATGTAAAACCTGCAGAACCATGAGCCAATCAAACTTCTTTTCTTTATAAGTTACCCAGCCTCAGGCATTTCTTTTCTTTTCTTTTTTTGAGACGAGGTTTCACTCTTGTTGCTGGGGATGGAGTGCAATGGCGCAATCTCGGCTCACTGCAACCTCTATCTCCCAGGTTTAAGCGATTCTCCTGCCTCAGCCTCCAGAGTAGCTGGGATTACAGGAATGTGCCACCACACCCGACTAATTTTGTATTTTTGGTAGAGACAGGGTTTCACCATGTTGGCCAGGCTGTTCTCGAACTCCTGACCTTAGGTGATCCACCACCTTGGAGTCCCAAAGTGCTGGGATTACAGGCGTGAGCCACTGTGCCCAGCCTAGACCGGCAGCTTCTAACAGCCTACTATCAGATATAGGAGCAAAGGATGACTTGAAATTGGAACTTATATTTAAAAGGGAAGGAGTGACCAGCCTGGCCAACATGGGGAAACCCCATCTCTACTAAAAAATACAAAATTAGCTGGGTGTGGTGGCATGTTCCTGTAATCCCAGCTACACAGGAGGCTGAGGCACAAGAATCGCTTTAAACCAGGAGGTGGAGGTTGTAGCGAGCCAAGATCATGCCATTGTACTCCAGCCTGGGCAACCAGAGTAAGACTCCATCTCAAAAAAAAAAAAGAGGGAAGGAGAGCATAAAAGTTTGAAAAATTGCACTCTGTCCTTGTGGTAGAGAAAGAATCCAAGCAGGCTGTGGAGCACCCAAATGCTAGAGAAAGCAGCAAGACTGAAAGGGAGCCAAATGCTAATATCCAAGACAATGGGGAAAAGGCCTCAAAGGCATTTCAGAGATCTTCTAGGCAGCTCCCTAACAGGTTCAGAGGCCTATAAGAAGAAAATGGTTTTGGTGACCAGGCCCAGGGCCTTGCTGCCCTGTACAGCCTTGGGACACTGCTCCCACGTCCCAGCTGCTCCAGAAGTCGTGGCTCAAAGGGCCGCAGGTACAGCTTGGGCCACCAATCCAGAAGGAATAAGCTGTAAGCCTTGGTAGCTTCCACATGACATTAAGTCTGCAGGTATACAGAATGCAACAGTGAAGGAGGCTTGGCAGTTCTCACCTAGATTCCAGAAGATATATAAGGAAGGCTGGGTGCTCAGGCAGAAGCCTGCAACAGAGAAACTCTACTAGGGTAGTGCCGAAGGGAAATGTGAAGTTGGAGGCCCACACAGAGTCTCCACCATGGCACTGCCTAGCAGAGCTGTAGGAAGGGAGCTACTGCCCTCCAGACTAGAGAATGGTAGCGCCGCCAGCAGCTTGCAACCTCAGCATGAAAAGCTGCAAGCACTCAACTCCAACCCACGAGAGTAGCCATGGGGCCTGCACCCTGCAAAGCCACAGTGGTGAAGCTGTCCAAGACCTTGGGGACCCACCCTTTGAACCAGGGTGCCTTGGATGCAGGACATGGAGCCAAGGATTATGCTGGACTTTTCATACCTACCCTGGACTTGCATGGGGTCTACTGTCCCTTTCTTTTGCCTGTTTCCTTTTGAAATGGAAATGTATATCCAATGCATGTACCACCATTGAATCTTGGAAGTAAAGAACTTGTTTTTGGCCGGATGCAGTGGCTCATGTCTATAATCCCAGCAATTTGGGAAGCCGAGGTGGGCGGGTCAGGAAGTCAGGAGTTCGAGACCAGCCTGGCCAACATGGTGAAACCCTGTCTCTACTAAAAATACAAAAATTAGCCAAGCATAGTGGTATGTACCTGTAATCCCAGCTACTTAGGAGGCTGAGGCAGGAGAATTGCTTGAACCTGGTAGGCGTAGGTTGCAGTGAGCCAAGATCGTGCCACTTCACTCCAGCCTGGCATACAGAGCAAGACTCTGTCTCAAAAAACAAACAAAAAAATTTGTTTTTGATTTCATAGGCTCATAAGTGGAAGGAACTCATCTCCAGATGAGACTCTGGACTTGGGACTTTTATTTTATTTTTTTTGAGATGGAGTTTCGCTGTTGTTACCCATATTGGAGTGCAATGGCACCATCTCAGCTCACCGCAA